GGTTGGACTAGATGACATCTTGAGGTCCCTTCCAACCCTGATATTCTATGATTCTATGATCAGCTGCTCCATTATCTTGCCAGGATCAATGTCAGATTGACAGGCCTATAGTTTCTTGACACAACATTATCTTTCTTCCAGTCTTCTGGAACTTTCCCAGTGTTTCAAGTCTTATTGAAAATCAACATTAATGGTCCAGTGAGCCTCTCAGCCAGCTATTTTAAAACTCTTGGATGCAAGTTATCCAAACTGGCTGACTTTAAAATGTTCAGCTTTAGTAGCTGCTCTTTAACGTCCCCTTGAAATACTAGTGGAATGGAAAGAGTGTTATTACATCATCTGTTTTTTTCCCAACTACAGAACAGATATATTTACTGAACACTTCTGCCTTTTCTGTATTATATCCATATCATTTCCATCTAGTAATGGACCAGTACCATTGTCAGGATTCTTTTTGTTGCTAATATACTTTAAAAACTCTTTCTTATAATTCTTAACTCTGCTGGCCATAGCTTTCTCATTGTGTCCCTTTGCTTCCTTTTTCTACAATTCCTAGCTCCTGATATATATTCATTACTATCAACTTCCGCTGTCTTCCATTTTTATATATTACTTTTATAGCTGGCTTTACTTCCCTTCTAAACCAGATTGGTATTTTCAACCAATATGGCCTTTTTCTTCAATTGTGGATTTGTGGCTTTTTGGGCATGTAGTAAAACGTTCTTAAAGCAATTACCAATTATCATTAACATTTTTCTGATAAAATTCTTCCTCCCAGCTAATTTGGCTCCTAATTGTTTTTAGTTTGTGAAATTGGCCTTTTAAAGCACCAAGGATATATAACTGGTCTGGACTTAACTCTGTTTGCACATTATAGTCATCATCAAGTTACCATTAATTTTTAGTTCCGTGACCAGTTTTTTCTTTATCTATCGAGATGAGGTGTAATCTAGAAATCCCGTGTGTTGGCTGCAACACTTTTTGAGTTAGAAAATTGTCATCTATAATATTTAGACATTCCAAGGATGTTTTAATACTGGAACGTATTAGGAGTCGTGGTCTATAGCAGACATCAACTACCCCATCTTTTGCTTATCTGTTAGGACATTGATCCATTAGCTTTCAAGATCATTTTCTTCTGCATTATCAGTGACTTGGAAATGGGTAATGCCATTTTTGACATAGAGTGACATCCCACCTCCCCTTTTGTCCACTCAATGCTTCCTAAATAGGTTACGACCATTGATTTTTAACATTCCAGTCATGAGAATCATCCCACCAGATTTCAGTAATACCAACTAGATCAAATTTATGCTCATAAATGAGGAATCCACTTGTATTTGTTTGTTACCCAGGCTCCTATCATTGGCATATGAGCAATTAAATAATTTCTTCTCTTCATGTCCTTTGGTTCCTTGATTTAATTTTGTTCTCCACATCTCAATTTTGTGCTGAGTGCTCATATCCTCCCTCTTTTTATCCTCCCCCTTTTTTTTATTAGTTTAACACCCTCTTGGTGACTCTAGTCAACCTGTCCCAGAGAAGATTGGTCTTGTTTCTAGTGAGGTGGAAGCCATCTAAACTATACAGCTCCCTCTCCCTATAGAAGGTGGACCAATGTTCCACAAAGCCAAATCCGACCTACACCACTTTTCTAGCCAGCGTTTCACTTTCAGAATCTTCTGCCTTGTGCCTTCCTTTGCTTGTGGGACAGGAATGATCTCAGAGAATATCACTTGGACATTCTTCAGCACACTTCCAAGTTCCCTGCGATATCTGCGAGACGTCCCATGACTCAGTGTCATTAGTGCTCTAACAAATCAGCACCAATGGATACCTTCCTGTCAACTTCAAAGTCTATCCAATTTTAAAGCAACATCTAGTGTTATGTTTTGGGAAGGCAATTCATTGTCCTGTTGTCTGCCTGACCCTTGCACAAAATTCTATTAATTCTTTGGAATATTGAATCCCCAACAAGGATCATCAGTTTTCCTTGGACAGTTGAAGAAATCTTTGTGAGGAAGCTTGATTTTCTTACAGGTTGGGCTAAACTGCCATCCTGTGTCCCGTACATGTCTCCATTTCCGTGACCAGATGGATCTTGAGAGGTATTTTCCACAGTTTCCAAGTTGAGGGCCTGGTATCTATTGGAAACTTCCAGCTACGTGGAATTCTTCCTGGTCCTCTTCTGTCTTGTGGCCACAGCCTGCCCATCCTTGTCGATCTTCAACCATGTAGACAGTCTCCGTGACCTCTTGCCTCTGGTAGTTACGAACTGCCAGTCTTCCTCTCTGACCTCCTCTGTCTCCGACTCCTTGGTGAGCAGCTCCTTTTTACCTGGGGTACTGATGTTTCCTGAACCTGACTGTCAAGGAACTCCTCAGCTTCTCTGTTCAGGAAGGTCTAGATCTTCAGTTTTTGTTCTGGCTCACCTCTATTTTAAACTTGTCAGCATCACGGTAAGGATAGGCAAATAGATTTTGAGCCAGTGATGGTGAATGTTCATGATAATTTTGTAAGACTGATTTTCACACATAGAAGAATGCTTGTCCAACACTTTGGGATAAATACACACACAATCAGTGCAGTGCAGGAACAGTGACCCACGGCCACTGGGAGCTGCAGGCGGCCATGCCTGCAGACGGTCAATGTAAACAGTGTCTCACGGCCTGCCAGCAGTTTACCCTGACAGGCTGCGTGCAGCCCGCGGGCCACAGGTTGCCCACCACTGATGTAACTAGATATGAGAGTTGGCAAATTAGTTCATATTTAGTATTATCACTTGGTTTATATTCATTATAATAATTTGTCTTTGGTACTGTAAAGACACACAAGAGGATTCTGTCCCTCCCACAGGAAGTTTACAGTCTGAATAGGCAAATAAAATAAGAACACACCTCCCCAAAAAAATATTTAGGTATAAAATTCAAACAAGCCTGAATTAAACTTTTTTTGAGGTTAAAAAAATTAACTTTTTCAATTTTCATTTTTGTGTGCTTCTGCTTTTCTCGATTTCAAGTAGGACTGGAAGCATAAATAAATAATTAAAATGATAAAGGCTATTTTTCACAGCATTTCCAACCCAGCTGGATGCAGGAAGTACTGATATATAAGAAAGCTTGTGAAAGAGACTGTTCTTGCAAGATTTTAAGCCTAGTCATTAAAACTCAGGTGGCTCAAATAGCTTGTAAATAAGCATTTATACATAAATGAACTAATGGAAGTTCTCCAATTGCTTCTTGATAAGCTCTGATATGTAATTTTAGCGACAGGGCTTATTGTGATCTACAATCATGCCATATCAAATTGCTATCTCATGAGATCTCACAAAATAAGGGTCTGATTGTAGGAGATGCTGAATAGTCTCACCTCCCACTAAGACCATGTCTACACTACCATTTAGTTTATTATTTGTACATAACAAAAAATATTAAAACTTGCAAGCCATATAATAACTAGCAAAATGAAGTCATACTTTGTCTTGAAATATTACATTAATACTTAATTCTTTGTATCCTGCAGATGACTTTGGAACAGGCCATCCCATTGTTCCTGTTTATTACAATCCTTCTGGAAAAGGAAAACCAAAATTTGTTATTTTATCTGAGCTACATAGGTCTCCACATAACAGAGAAGAACCTCTGCAAAGACCCCAGGAAGGAAGTAATGTTAATGTTAGCAAAAAATTCAGGTATGTTCCCCTAAAAGATCCTGGGTCCAATTCTGCTATGTACACTTGTATGGCTCTCACTGAAGTAGTTGGAACTAAGGGTACGACTACACTATGAAATTAGGTCGAATTAATAGAAGTTGATTTTTAGGAAGCGATTTTATACAGTCGATTGTGTGTGTCCCCACTAAGCGCATTAAGTCAGCAGAGTGTCCACCGTACTGTGTCTAGCGTTGACTTTCGGAGCGTTGCACTGTGGGTAGCTATCCCACAGTTCCCGCAGTCTCCGCTGCCCATTGGAATTCTGGGTTGAGCTCCCAATGCCTGATGGGGCAAAAACATTGTCGCGGGTGGTTTTGGGTACATGTCGTCAGTCGCCCCTCCCTCCGTGAAAGCAACGGCAGACAATCATTTCGCAACTTTTTTCCGTGTGGGCGCCATACTGCTTTCAGCAGACGGTGCAGTAGGACTGCTAACTGTCGTCATCGAACGACCACTTCTGCTGCCACTCTGCTCTGGCCACAGACTGTGCAATAGGTCAGAAAAACTGGTCTTCCAACCACCGCTTCCGCTGCCACTCTGCTCTCCTGGTGGTCTCACAGGTCCTCTATATGACCGTTGTCATTCGCCGCTTCTGCTGCAACTCTGCTCTCCTGCTCTTGTCTCGCCATACCACGGCAAGCGTGCAGCCCACTCAGCTCACCTAACGGACACCGCTGCTGTTGTGTCCTGGCAGCAGACGGTGCAGTAGTCTGCAAAACTGGTCTTCCAACCACCACTTCCACTGCCACTCTGCTCTCCTGCTCTCCTGCAGACGCCATACCACGGCAAGCATGGAGCTCGCTCAGATCACCGCAGCAGTTACCTCGCACATTATCTTGCAGTATGTGCAGAACCAGAACCTGCAAAAGCAGGCGAGGAGGCGACAGCAGCGCAATAATGAGAGTGATGAGGACATGGACCCAGACTTCTCTCAAAGTATGGGCCCTGGCAATTTGGACATCCTGGTGGCAATGGGGCAGGCTCATGCCATGGAACGCTGATTCTGGGCCCGGAAAACAAGCACAGACTGGTGGGACCGCAAAGTGTTGCAGGTTTGGGATGATTCCCAGTGGCTGCAAAACTTTCGCATGCATAAGGACACTTTCATGGAACTTTGTGACTTGCTTTCCCCTGCCCTAAAGCGCAAGAATACCAAGATGAGTAGCCCTCATAGTTCACAAGCGAGTGGCGATAGCCCCCTGGAAGTTAGCAATGTCAGACAGCTACCGGTCAGTCGGGAATCAATTTGGAGTGGGCAAATCTATGGTAGGGGCTGCTGTGATCCAAATAGCCAACGCAATCACTGAGCTGCTGCTATCAAGGGTAGCAACTCTGGGAAATGTGCAGGTCATAGTGGATGGCTTTGCTGCAATGGGATTCCCTAACTGTGGTGGGGCGATAGACGGATAGGGAGAGGAATAGACTGCATATCCCTATCTTGGGACCGGACCACCTTGGCAACAAGTACATAAACCGAAGGGGGTACTTTTCAGTGGTGCTGCAAGCACTGGTGGATCACAAGGGACGTTTCACCGACATCAACGTGGGATGGCCAGGAAAGGTAGATGACGCTTGCATCTTCAGGAACTCTGGTCTGTCTGAACAGCTGCAGCAGGGGACTTACTTTCCAGACCAGAAAATATCCGTTGGGGATGCTGAAATGCCTATCGTGATCCTTGGGGACCCAGCCTACCCCTTAATGCCATGGCTTATGAAGCCATACACAGGCACCCTGGACAGTAGTCAGGAGCTGTTCAACTATAGGCTGAGCAAGTGCAGAATGGTGGTAGAATGTGCATTTGGATGTTTAAAAGCGTGCTGGCGCAGTTTACTGACTTGCTTAGACCTCAGTGAAACCAATATTCCCATTGTTATTCGTGCTTGCTGTGTGCTCCACAATATCTGTGAGAGTAAGGGGGAGACGTTTATGGCATGGTGGGAGGTTGAGGCAAATCACCTGGCCGCTGATTACACACAGCCAGACACCAGGGTGGTTAGAAGAACACAGCAGGGCGCACTGCGCATCAGAGAAGCTTTGAAAACCAGTTTCATGACTGGCCAGGCTACGGTGTGAAAGTTCCGTTTGTTTCTCCTTGATGAAAACTCGCCCCCTTGGTTCACTCTACTGCTCTGTAAGCCAACCGTCCTCCCCTCCCCCCTTCGATCACCGCTTGCAGAGGCAAAAAGTCATTGTTTCAAATTCATGCATTCTTTATTAATTTGTCACAAATAGGGGAATAACTGCCAAAGTAGCCCAGGAGAGGTGGGGAAGGAGGGAAGCACCGGGTGGGGTGTGAGAGGAGGAGGGGAGGGAAGGACAAGGCCACACTGCACTTCAAAACTCATTGAATGCCAGCTTTCTGTTGTTTGGGCAGTCATCTGGGATGGAGTGGTTGGGTACCCGGAGTGCCCTACCCCCCCCCGCCCGCGTTCTTGGGCGTCTGGGTGAGGAGGCTATGGAACTTGGGGAAGAGGGCGGTTGGTTACACAGGGGCTGCAGCTGCAGTCTGTGCTCCTGCTGCCATTCCTGCAGCTCAACCATATGCCGGAGCATATCAGTTTGATTCTCCGGTAACCTCAGCATTGCATCCTGACTCCTCTCCTCTTGCTCCTGCCACCTGTCCTCTCATGCGTCCCTCCTGTCCTCGCATTCATTTTGTGCTTTCCTGGACTCTGACATTGTCTGCCTCCACGCATTTTGCTGAGCTCTCTCAGTGCGGGAGGACTGCATGAGCTCAGAGAACATTCCATCGCGAGTGCGGTTTTTTCGACTTCTTATCTGCGCTAGCCTCTGGGGCGGAGATGATAGGGGGAGTGTTGAAACATTTGCAGCTGTGGGAAGAAAAAAAAGGGAGAGTAGTATTTAAAAAGGCACATTTTTTAGAGAACAATGGGTAGACTCTTTCACGGTGAACCAAGCTGTTAACATTACATAGCACATGTACTTTCGGGACAAGGTCACATTTTGCCTCTTATTTTGAGGGCCTGCCAGTTTGGTGTGAGAGATCACACACGCAGGGCCGGGCAACAGAATTTGTGCAGGCAGCCATGGTAAGCCACAGTTTTTTGGCTTCTTTAACCTTCATAACATGTGGGAATGGTTTCAAACAGCAGCGCCCTCAATTCCCATACCAAGCACCCGTTGGGTTGACCATTTAAAATGGGTTGGCCATTTAAAAGGAGGGGCTGCGGTTTTCGGGTTAACATGCAGCACAAACCTAACTAAATCCCCCCTCACACCCAATTCTCTGGGATGATCGCTTCACCCCTTCCCCCACCGCGTGGCTAACAGCGGGAATGATTTCTTTTCAGCCACAGGCACGCAGCCCAGCAGGAACAGCCACCTCTGAATCTCCCCTTAATAAAATTCCCCTATTTCAACCAGGTGACCATGAATAATATCACTTTCCTGAGGATAACACAGAGAGATAAAGAACGGATGTTGCTTGACTGCTTTCCAGTAGCTGTGCTGGCCGAGAATGCATACCAAGTCTTCAGGGCAAATTAATCATTAAACACGCTTGCTTTTAAACCATGTATTATATTTACAAAGGTACACTCACCAGAGGTGCCTTCTCCGCCTTCAAGGTCCGGGAGCCCGCCTTGCGAGGGTTGGGAGGGTATTGTCTCCAGAATGATAAACAGTTCCTGGCTGTTGGGGAGAATGGTTTCTCCGCTTGCCTGCTGTGCGCTACTCTCATCCTCCTCCTCATCATTATCTTCCTCGTTCTCAAAATTCTCATCCCTGTTGCGTGAGACTCCCCCCTTGCAGGAGTCCACGAACAGGGGTGGGGTAGTGGTGGGGGCACCCCCTAGAATTGCATGCAGCTCATTATAGAAGCAGCATGTCTGGGGGTCTGACCTGGAGCAGCCGTTTGCCTCTTTGGTTTTTGGTAGGCTTGCCTGAGCTCCTTAAGTTTCACACGGCACTGCTGTGGGTCCCTGTTGTAGCCTGTGTCCATCATGCCTTTGGAGATTTTTTCAAAATATTTTGGCATTTCGTCTTTTGGAATGCAGTTCTGATAGCACAGATTCATCTCCCCATACAGCGATCAGATCCAGTACCTCCCGTTCGGTCCATGCTGGAGCTCTTTTGCTATTCTGGGATTCCCTGGTCACCTCTGCTGATGAGCTCTGCATGGTCACCTGTGCTGATCAGCTTGCCACGCTGGCCAAACAGGAAATGAAATTCAAAAGTTCACGGAGCTTTTCCTGTCTACCTGGCCAGTGCATCTGAATTGAGAGTACTGTCCAGAGCGGTCACAATGGAGCACTCTGGGATAGCTCCCGGAAGCCAATACCGTCGAATTGCATCCATGCTACCCCAAATTTGACCTGGCGATGTCAATTTCAGCACTAATCCCCTCGTCGGAGAGGAGTACAGAAATCGATTTTAAGAGACCTTTAAGTCGACAAAAATGGCTTCATTGTGTGGACAGGTGTAGGGTTAAATCGATCTAATGCTGCTAAATTCAACCTAAACTCGTAATGTAGACCAGGGCTAAGTGACTTCCACCAGTTCACTGGTATGACTTTCTTTAAAACATCATCAGCAAACATATTTCTTGAATGGTTCTTATTCCCAAACTGGGTCTCTTTTACAGCCTGCTTCTACTATAGGTTTTCCTTTCTAGTGAGAGAATGGTATGGTAGATCTCAAATCAATGAAGGCTACACTCGGAAAGACCTCAAGACTTCTGGAATATGCTGCTCAAACAGTTTCACTTTTGTTTCTACTGCCTGTCCCTCCCTTCTCCCATTTATCTCCAGACTTCTTCTCCTTGTCCAGATCTATTCCACCCCCAACAATCTTCTAGTCATTGAACTTTTTGAAACTTTGCACTTTTAGAGAGAGGTAAGGGATTGACTATGTGTACACAAATTTGCAGAGGGACAATAGGGTTGAGGTCTGTTATTTCTCATCTCTATATATTTATTTATTTATTTATTTCATTTTTTGCTGTTAACAAGCATGTTATCTCTGGAGACACAAATCCACAGTTTGAGAA